CGCGAACGACGGCTATAAGAAGAATTTGAGTCATATCAAAATAGCCATTAGGACAAAATATAATCACAAAGTGCTCCAACATAAAGATAGGGGCCGTTACAGTGAAAAGTAGCTTGTAAAGACGATGGATCATCGGTCTTTAGCTACCGACTATATTGCTTAACTTCAAGAAACTATAGCATATAAGACAAAAAAGATTACGTATCACATAAGCCAGGAATGTGACTTTCTTGAGCACAAAGTCATGTGCTTGAGAAAAAACTTCACTAGTACAGATCTTGCTCCTTTAACATTTGACTTAGATACTTAAAACCATAACACTAATGCTCATTACAGAAAAGTTCTTTACTACAACAGCAGCCAAGTGCAACCCATCAGCAAAATTCATCGTAAAAATGGCATGGGAATTCATCTCATTTATTTTTATCACATTCGCAACAAAAGCCAGGGTTCAGAAAACAACTACAGCTTCGATACAACAGGAGAAAGTAACAGTTCTTTTGTCCGTTTTCTTATAACGGTATAGTTTTAAAAATGCGTTCTCATTGATCGTTTCATCAAGCAACAAAAGAATATTAAGTGATAGATGGCGCCTTGCCGTTTCTATCAACTTTCATTATATCTGTTTAAGCGCTTCATCTCCTATTTCTATCAAATATGCATTATATGCAATTTAGTCATTTAAAAATGTAACTGTAATAAAAAAAAGTTACTCTATCGGTCGCCATATTGGCCTCTTCCACATTTTTTCTTCTGGCAGCTAGCTATTTGCATCTGCTGAAGTTATCTGCTATTGGCAGCTGTTATTGGCAGGTAACTTCTTAATAGCCATTCTCGACATGTAATCACATTTCTTTGATCTATGCTTTCTTATTCGCCTCAATTGTAAGAAAAAAAGAACGCTTCATCATATTCGATAAGATAAGAAAAACATTTTTTATTCTCATTACATCAGTAGTGAACGGAAAAAATGGATGTCGAGCAATGTTATCATGTATGGTCATCAACTTATGATTCTGATAAAAATTCTACTAGAGATTTAGACGAAAAAATAACTAGAAAACTATTATCAAACAAGCAATATGATACTGTGCTTGAGCTTGGCTGCGGTACCGGTAAAAATACATTATTCTACTCAGCTATTGGCAAGAATGTTGATTCAGTTGATTTCTGTCAATCAATGCTAGATATTGCTAGACTAAAAGTGGAACAACAAGCAATCACGAACGTGATAATTTATCAGACAGATTTAAAGCAAAAGCAGTGGTCGCGGGAAAGCAACTATTATGATCTCTGTGCATGTAATCTTATGTTAGAGCACATTGAGAATATAGAACCGTTCTTCATGGAAGTTAATAGAATATTAAAGATAAATGGTGAATTTTTTGTGAGTGAACTACATCCATATAAACAATACCTAGGGACAAAAGCAAATGGTGTCATTCAATCGTTTACACATCATATATCTGATTTTCTTCATGTCGGAAAGAAAAATGGATTCACAATGAAAGAGATGCAAGAATGGTGGACAAATGACGAGGAAACAGAGCACCGAACACCACCGAGATTAGTTACATTTATTTTTGAGAAAATGTCAACAATTAGCTAAATTTAATAAAAACAAAACTCACGAATTAATTCATTTTATCTCGGTTCAAAATACTTCCAAACTTCAAAGGATATTTAAGTTTCATAACACATGCTTACAGACTCCGTGTCTAAACTTATCAGTGTTTATAAGATGAATTATAGATCTTTTAATCGCAGAGCGAAAGTTCAAAATCTCTGGGTTTTTGAAAGTAAACTTTTAAATTACATGGTTCTATCCAGGCAGAAAAAAGTAAGCAAGGAAATCTAGCTTATCAAATAGCTCAAGCGCCCGCTTAATCGTAGATTTTTGGGTCAAATACGAGCAAGTGTCCACTTGCTAGCCGCAAGCAGTCGATCCAGTGGGCGCTTAATTGAGCGACTATCGTCGAATTCAAACACATCAGCTAAGTTTGATGGGTTAAAGATTGGGTCAGGTAGCTGCAAGCGCCCGCTTCACGGTGAAGCGGGCGCTTGCAGCTACCTGACCCAAAAACAATCGGCGATTTTTTTTCCTGCATAGGCACTGTTGAGGAATCGAATGATATAACGTGGGCTGAAGTTTGTTTTTTGTTTGCATCGAAAAACTACGGTTTCAGTGCAGATTTTTTGTATTTTCGATTCTCTGTAGAAGTGTAAGACAGTTGTTACTAATGAACCTGATATCAGCTACTATCCATCCCAAAATACAGTGTCAGTGGGCATTTTTTGAATAACTTTTGATAGGAACGAGATAGAGACCTGCGATTTTCGTTGTTCAATAGCCAAGGCTTGAGCAGAACTTTTCGTAAGCGGAAGCAACTTTTGAAAAAATTCCAGAGATCGGGTTTTCAGAGGATCTTTGGAAAACCAGCTCCGTTCTCAGAAAACTAACATACAATGTTAGTAAGTTTTTTGCATTTGTAGTTAGTCCGGACATTACTCTACAAAATTATGCAAGTCACGGCTCTCCAGCTATCGTCATTCGGGCAGGGCTCGCTTTTCCCGAGCACGTGTCTATCTCCGAGCAGACATCTCTGGGAATCTCAAAATGCCATGGACTATAGGTAATCGACTACGCTGAGCATAGTGGCAACATTTGTTTTTGTGTAGAAATGAATATAACT